TATCAAACACTAGCAATAATTAGCCCTCTGCTTCCCCAAAAAGCCTATTTTGAACAGAATATTTGTTGCTTCATAAAAATCCACAAAAAGATCCACAGTAAGATCTTCCACCATTCTTTAAGATTATTCCATGTCACAACCTAGGAAATATAAATTAGGAAACTGTCACATATTCAAGCTACTTATATTGAGTAGCATAGATCTTATATCATAAGCTTACTTATCAAGATGACATCATGCATAGAATTAGCACACTGAAAGCTGATGGAGACATAGACAAGGTTCTCTCTATACACTGAAGTGCAAGAGGGATTATGCAATTGAAAAGCAGTATTTATGAATATGAAACACACTTTATGAATGTGGACAATAACAAAATCCATGAAGCAAATCAACATAAGACACTTCCATAATAAACATAGAAATACCACATGTCAGTAGAGTTACTACATATTCAATTCCACCGCTGATTTTATCATACGTTGATTGCAGTTACCGGTATTATGTATGTACTCTAATGTGAAGACTCATATGTGACTGACCACAAGCATTCCGATGGCTTTCCTTGTGTTCAAGAGAATGAGGGCATGGTGTTCTCCAAAAGCCTAAAGAGCAGGTTAACCTCTAAGATAGCTTCCAGGCAATACAAAGCTATAATTTTCTGTATCTCTGGAGATGACTATGCAAAGGTTTGCAATTAGCCAAGTTGTACGATTGAACAGAGGAACTGTTCATTTGAGGATTTTTGTTCTACCAATGCTCTTAAGCATAAGTCACCATGAATTGCTGTGGCAAGCCTTGGAAGAGTACCATTTATCTCAAAACGATGCCAGGACAAACATCTCCCTTTCTCTCCATTCCGTAGAAGAATTCTTCCTAGGCACATATAACATTAGTGCAGAACTCAGTTTAATTTAAGACAAAAGATGTACGATGCTGCCCTTTCGCGAAGGCAATTAATTCCAGGGAACAGAATTCTTGGTGTTATATAGTCAAACATCAGCAGGCTGTAGAATGCAAGGTTTTGAAAAATCACTACTACAACAGAAAGGAGGTTTTGGAAGGACGTTCAAGCAGAATGACCCCAGCAAAAACATTCAGGTCCAAACGACTCTAACAGCATCTGGGTCAAACTTTCTGGCACTGCGCCTGTTTTCAATTACAAACAGTAAGAAGCAGGGGACAGAAAAGTGCACAAGATGTGGTCAAGTATATTTGAAATCGGAGGCCCAGGACTTCTTAGCTATCTTGAGTGTCCCCTGGTTACAAATATAGAAATATACATCAAATTGACAATAATAATGGTTCAGCATAAGTTAGACTCCGAGCAGTGTTTCTCAACCTTGACAATTTTAAGGCATGTGGACTTCAACTCCCAGAATTACACAGCCAGCATTGCTGGCTGTGGAATTCTGGGAGTTGAAGTCCACATGCCTTAAAATTGTCAAGGTTGAGAAACACTGGGTTAGAGGGTACCATGTTGGGGAAGGCTGGTTTAAATTGAGGGAAAATTTCTAGTTTGCTTCTGTGGGTTGTTTTTTTTAAATAAAGCATTATACTTTTAGAAATATACAGGGCAGCTTGTTAATCTCACTAAACCTATGCCTTTAACACAGCTAAGTTTCTGAAAAAATACATATTTTAATAACCAGCAGGAAAAGCACAGCCAATGGCAAGGGGAGACTGAAATTGGCTTCCTCTCCAAGACATTCCTGGCTCTGAAATCTTTACAGCTCTGGCTTTTTGCCAGTTCTCATTATCTCTGAAGATAAAAGACAAATCCCACCCCACACCGGCACCACCCCCAGGATTCCCCACCCTTGCCCTTCAGGAGCTGGACGCTTTTATTGTCTTCTCCCTCCAAACCTTTTGAAGTCTCCTCCTATCTAGAACATATTATGAAAAATGCCCTTGAGGCAGAAGAGGGGGAGGAGACTTTGCCTGTCTGCTGAGAATCCAGTTACTTTTCTGATATGGGAGGAAGGGCAGAAATAGAAAACTCAATGAAAACGTGAGCTAGTCTGGAAAGGGAGCAATTCCCAAAGGCTGGAGCTGGTTTCCCTAATATTAATAAAAAGTAGGTAAAGGGGTCTTTGAAATGGATGACTCAAGTGCAACCAGACTGGGAGAAAGGCAACAAAGAGTGCTGGAAATCATTCATCCAAATAACTTCCTCCACTGTTGGGGTGGGGGTTGCCTATATAATAAAGGACATCCTCTCTGATCATTTACTTTAATGTAGCCACTTTGTCGAGCAAACTTAAGTCTGGTTCAAAGTCCTAATAATCAGAAAATAAGCGGAACTCTCTCGGTCTATTTGAAGATACCACAAGGCTACAAAACAAAACATGTAATACGCTTCACAAGGAGCTCCAATGGTGTAACCACTCACAGTGTACTTTGTTCCTATTTCAAATGTATCATTTACGAGCAGGAAGACTCAAATCCAGGATGGCCCCACTGGCACTTGTACAATATCTGCCCAACAGCTTAAACATCAATTCCCAATGGAAAGCCAACCGGTCGCAGAATGCCCAGATATCGGAAGACATATAAATGACCCCACAAAAAAGTGCCAGGCTTTGAACTACCACATCAGCAATGGACAATCTTGAATAGGATTTGCACCTCACATGACCTCTGCCAGGACTCTCTGAGTCAATGTGGCACAGTATCCTGCCCTTAGTGTGACACACATTAAACTGTAGATCACATTGTGATTGGCTGTAAGCTGAGGGTGTGTACCAGTCCAGTATCTGATTTTTTTTTAATGTAAACAATGCTGCGCTTCAGTGGTTAGATCAAAGGTCCTCAACCTTATGGGTACCAGGGACCAGTTCCGTAGAGAGGGGTTTTTCCGTGGACCGGAGGGGGAGTGGTTTTGTGTGCTGCCTGCATCCCACGGATGGAAAGTCCCACCCCAATTGAGGGAGGATGTTTACCAAATTAGACACCCCCTAATAAATTTAAAGTGTGAATAGGTAGACTGGAGCAATCAATGAGCAAACTAGCAACAGAAAAATAATGGAAGCATATTAAAAATATCCCTTTAAAGGAAAAATATGAATAATAATAAAATTATGGATCAAACAAAGCAATTGCAGTGCAACTAGATAAACTCATAATAAGCATTATATAAAAAATAAAAATAATCAATACTTTAATGAATATTAGTATGAATCAGGAATATATATATATATATATATATATATATATATATATATATATATATATATATATATATATATATATATATATTCCTTGCTAATTCAATCCTTGCTAAGTCAGCTTCTAGTGTAAGCATATTTTAGTATTCCAAACATTTAAGCAGAAAGAAAAACTCTTATTCTACTATCCCAAAGGTCTCAAAGGCACTAACTAGTGTTCAGATTTAAATAAAAATGCCGAATATTCGGTTCCAAAAGTTAGAAAAGTTCAGATCTAAAGAGGATTTTTTTCCCCTGTCACCTTAGCAACATCAGAATAGAATAGCCTGTTTTGCCATCTTGGGAAGGGGGCTAAAAGGTTAAAGTTAGAAGGAATTCAGGAACTGTTCCTAATCATCCAAGAAGAATGTTGTCTTTTATCTGTGTCATGACTTTCATTCACTCTTTTATCACTTAGCGCAAAGGCATGCCATCTCATGATCCGATTGGTTACTGTGCACCTGTTCACCTCCTCCCTTCATTGGTTGTTCATTACATCCTAAGGCCTACCAATTAAAAGTGACACTATGTTGATGGATTGTTAGGTCAAAACATTGCAAACTTCTTTCATCCTTGCCTTCTGGATTACTTTTCACACATCTGGACTCTCCTATCAGTAACAAAGTTTTAAAATCCTCCAACTCCTGATTTTCTGTTTTTGGATTCCACTCCATTCCTCCACTTGCTCGATTATCTACAGATAGTTAAGCTGTAATTCTCACCTTAGTATCAAAAGTCTTATGTATAAAGAGAGTCCTTGATTTTGAACCATTCATTTAGTGACTGGTCAAAGTTATAGTGGTGTTGAAAAAAGCAACTTGCAATTGATCCTATGGCCGTTGCAGCATCCCCACAGCCACACGACAAAAATTAGGGCACCTGGCAACCAGCATGTATTTAAGACAATTGCAGTGGCCGGCGGCCACATGATCATCATTTGCCGTCTTCCCAGACAGCTTCTGACAAGCAAAGTCAGTGGGAGAAGATGGATTCTCTTAATGACCATACAATTCACTTAATAACTACAGCAAAAAAAAAGCTGAAGAAGCTTCTTGGATGAGAAGCGAAATGTCTTCCAAGAAAAACAAGAAAGTCCAGTTGCCTCGTGAAAAAGGCACCTTTGGCACAGCAAAAAAGGTTGTAAAATCTGACATGAGTCACTTAACAACTGCCTTATTTAGTGATGGGAGTTCTGCTCCTAGTTGTGGCTGTAAGCCAAGGACTACCAGTAGACAAAATTTAGAAAAAAATAATATGTAATATACCAACAAAGCAAAATAAAATGCTATATATCTCTCAATTGATATATATATACTATATATATATATATATATATAGTATATTGATTATCATTGATATAATGAGATAATAATTAATAAAATTAATGAATAATTAATAAATATTAATTTATTCATTAATAAATTAATGAATAATTGATAAAATTAATCAAAACTGATGCTAAAGTTCAAAATTACTGGAGTAGGACAAAAACAATCTTGTATTAAATACCATTTGCTTGCCATTTCAAAATACTGCATCATAATCGGGTTTCATGATTGATTTTACAACAATTATACCACATTAAATGTATTTAAACAACCCTAATATAAATCGGAGTACATGATATATAACTTGTTTAAATAAATAGGCTAGAAAAATCACAACTGAAAATGAAGTCAGTTTCTTTTAAAAATGGAATTTAAAACTCTTGAATTTTTTTAGGGGGGATTCTTCGATGAAAGATCTGGTATGACTTTTTCCATTTATCAGAATCAATTTAAAAAAGCATTACTGTGGAAGAAGATGTTATTCTTTTAAGACAGAAATAAAAGAGCAGCACTAACAGCTGTAGTAATTGATACCCATGATCATTTCAAAGCTTAGAAGCAGATGCTTTTATCAAATGAAGGAAGGGTGATGTCATCTCAAGTAGCGCTTTTGACGGCAAAATGCCTGGAGAGATTTGCACTACTCTTCTATATATTTTTTAATCCTACACAGCAAAGCTAAGGCCAGTATCATGAAAGAAAAAACTGGCACATATTCCCAGAAGCAGAACGTGGGGCTTAAATGCTAGAAGCGACAAGAAAGAGAGGGCACTTACGGCAGTTCTCTTCATCGGACCCATCCTTGCAGTCAGTATCACCATCACAGAACCAGTGCTCAGCTATGCAGCTGCCATCACTGCAGCGAAACTCTTTGTCGGAACACTTCCTCATATCTGCAGCAGAAAGAATAGCTTAGGGGGAAATAGCAATAGCACTTAGACTTATATACCACTTCATAGTGCTTTACAGCCCTCTCTAAGAGGTTTATAGAGTCAGAGTCAGAGTCAGCATATTGCCCCCAACAATCTGTGTCCTCATTTTACCGACCTCGGAAGGATGGAAGGCTGAGTCAACTTTGAGTCTGTCAGAATCAAACTTCTGGCAGTGGGCAGAGTTAACCTGCAATACTGCATTCTAATCACTGCGTCACCACCACTTCTCCTTCCCCTTCCTCTTCCCCTTCCCCTCCCTCACTGCAAGTGAAAGTTCTTTAAAATCGATCATATCCCCAAACCTTCCAATATTGCAATTGTACAGAAAAATGACTGCTTGCTTAGTGTGGATTTTTACAGAGATAAACTGGGATTGTACTACAATATAGTTTGATGTGGCCTGGAAGACTCCCCAATTTCCTAGTCCAGCAAGCAAAATATCTCGTTTTTTCCCCCATGGAGCCTGAAGCCTAGATATATCCTAATCTCATTCCCCCCACCCCAGTCCTCAAAGCCCCAGAAACTGTAATGTCAAACTACAGTTGCAAATGATCAAGAAACGGGGAAAAGAATGGGCTTTCTTTAGGCATATTAGAACAAATCTCAATCTTGGCTACTACAATGACTTTATCATCTTGTTGCTTCAACTGCAAATTGGGTTTTCACTTGGTTTGAGAATGGGCATTTGTCTCTTGCACTGATAACATCATAGTCTTCATAAAGAACAAAATATATGACTTTCAGCCCACCATGTTAGGACTGAAACCTATGCAAAAACTCTGTTCCAATCATCTGTGCTAGAACTATATTTTTTCTCATGTCATTTGGCACTCCAAAATGCTGGATTTTGGTCCTATCACAACCAGGTTTACTAACCACATTGCTCGTCACTGTTGTCTCCACAGTCATTGTCACCATCGCAGTGCCACAGACTGCGTATGCAGTATCCATTCTGACACGAGAACTCATCTTCCTCACATTCCCGGGGAGCTGCAGGAACACAACGCACAAAAAGATACATCAAACGTTGCATTGTGGTTTACTCAGCCAACAGAAGCCTATATATACCAGACAATTTAGGAGTATCTATTAATGCAAGTCTTCATTATATATTTATTCTGTTCATTTAAGTTAACTGAACATACGATAAGGCTATTTTAAAATAAAATGAAACAAGAAAATACACGTCATTGAGAATACAACTGTTGGTAAGCATACTAAATAAATAGCCCAGGAAATATGTAATATTTATAAAAGCTTGATCTCAATTCACCAACTAGAATTCAGGTAGCACAAGTAGACAACTTGCAAATGTTTGCACAAATGTCTCCACCTACCAAAAGCCAAGTTTTGTAGTGTATCAAGGAACGACCACAAATCAAATTACTGAGGCTAGAGCAAACCCACATAACTGGGTATTTTTTTTTTAGCATGCACCATTTATTCTAACAGCTACTCTACTGCTTAATCATCTCTAAAAGCCGACTGCAGCTCCAACAGTGACATTCTATTTGCTCTCACAAAATGATTGTGCGTTTAACGTACGGCAATCCTGCTCATCAGAATCATCCTCACAATCATTGTCTCCATCACAGACCCATGAGCGACGGATACATTTGCCATTGTCGCAGTGAAAATCCAGGGATGAACAAGTAGGCAGCACTGAAATGTAAGAAGGAGAAAAAGAAACAACTAAGAACATTCAATAAATTGCCCTAGATTTACTTCCTAAATCATACACACATGTGCCAAGGATGTAACAGTACTACTACTACTAATTATATTTAGCAATAATTAAAATATAAAATGTTCTAATAATTATAACTGTAATGAGAACCAGTTTGGTGTAATGGATAAGGCACCAGGCTAGAGACCAGGAGACCTTGAGTTCTATTCCTGCCAGCTGAGCTTGGACAGCCATTTTCTCTCAGCCCTAGAAAAGAGGCAGTGGCAAACCATTTCCAAATATGTTGCCAAGAAAACTGCAGGGACTTGTCCAGGCAGTCCCTGAGAATTGAACACAATTGAATGGAAGAAAATAATTATAATGTATAATTTAGTAATAATTATAATTACAATTAGCACCAGTAGTATTACTAATCATAAGTATGAAGGGATGGGAAATACTGCCATATTAATAACTCCCCAAACTTAATGTGCAGTTTAATTCTTTTTAAGATCAGTTTCTACACTGAATAACAAGTAGCAACTTGGTGATATCACTAAAAGTGAGCTAAAATTGTGCTAAAAGAACAGCCAATTTCCCTTTACTGTGTCAGATAATACTGTTGTAGAGGTTACTGAAAGTGATGCCAACTTTCAGCTGTATTATAGTCAAATCAATTTTAGCCTATAAAATGGGAAGAAACAGTCAGTGTTCTCAATACGGTACTTATTTTTGAAACTGTGGTGAATTAAAAGAGACATGAATTTTCAAAGTAGGAACATAAGCCCTGGCCAACATCCTACACTTACATTTTATTTTGAACACTCACCCAATTTTTCTGTATCTGTTAATTACTCCAGTCCTGAAAATCTCTCCCTCTCTCCTTTTGCCTCGAACCCTAGTCCACTTCTTCCAAAAACTGAAAATACACTCATTTCTCCCTATCATGTTAGATTAAAACAACTTCTAAGTTCTCCACTGCCCGCCAAAGAGCACAAAGCAGAGTTGTCAGATTTTCCACTGCACACTTCCAAACAATAGTGCCGCAAAGTATTTGGGAACAGATAAATCCAGTTTCCAGCGATCTGCACTCCAGTGCACAGGAGGAAAAAAGCCTTTTATCTGAATTCTTAAGAGTCTCCCCCCCCCCACTCAAAGAGGATGAAAAATGTCTGCATCAAAATGCTGCCCCCTTCCATGATATTCCTTCAATTACCTCTTCCATCAGTTAATCAGTTGTAAGCCCTAGACTTACAAGAGTTTATTTACTGACCGTTCAAAGTTATAACGGCACTGAAAAAATTGACTTAGAACCATTTTTTTCAGTTACAACCTTTCTAGCATCTGCACGATCATGTGATCAAAATTGGCAGTTGGTTCATATTTGTGACCGTTGTTGTGTCCCGGGAGTCATGTGATCCCCTTTTGTGACCTTCTGACAAGCAAAGTCGATGGGGGAAGCCAGATTCACTTAACCGGGTCACTAGCTTATCAACTGCAGTGATTCATTTAACAACTGAGGCAAAAAGGTCGTAAAATGGGACAAAATTCACTTAACAAATATCTCACTTAACAACAGAAATGTTGGGCTCAACTGTAGTCATAAGTCGAGGACTACCTGTAGAATTTCATGGTCACTGGATGTCTACAGGCCACACTGAGCTGCTTTGGAGGTTCCTCCCCCTTTAAAATGGAAATATATTGTATCCTGACAGATCCTTTGAAGGTTCCCACTTTGCAGTCACAGTAGCACTCCCTTTTTCTCTGAAGACAACATGCAAAAGGAAAAACATATGTAACCTTGACACGGGGAAGTGAGAAACTATTTAGCAGGTGACATTCCCAAGCCCCTTGATATTTTTAAATACCTTGGACAAGATTCTAAAAAAACCTTTTGCTATCTTTCTGTTTATCCTAAATTTTGTTTGATACCCAGTATCTTCTCCACCATTGCAAGTCTCAAACATCCACAGCATGAGTTTTTATTCCCCAGTATTTCCCAACTCTTACAGCCTATGCCAGGGGTCAGCAAAGCTGGCTGAGGAATTCTGGCAGCTGAAGTCCACAAGTCTTAAAGTTGTCAAGGTTGCAGACCCCTGGCCTATGCCAAATGAGGAGGCATCTCTTCCAAATGTTTGTACAACGCACCAAAGTTAGTATTTAACTTCAGACTTTCTTTTTACGTCTTCTTCACAGCTGTTATCATCTCCATTCAATCAAATACAGGTAGTCCTTAACTTACAACCTGTTGCTTAACAACTGGTCAAAGTTACGACAGAGCCCCCAAAGGTACTTATGATTCAGTTCCAAAGTTCTGATGGCCACACCCCCTAATCACGTGATAGTATTTTGAGCCCTTGGTAACCAGCCTGCATTTATAGCCATTTGAAGCATCCCATGGTCGTGCTTTTGCTCAAAACTGGCCTTTATTTTCAGTTTTTGGCAAAAACACCCCATAGTAAACAATGGGCTTGTTTTATGCACCCAGACATGTTGACCTACTTTACAATCATCATGACTGACGACCATAATGGACAGTCTCTGTTATAGTAGTAAGTCGAGGACTACCTTATTAAGCAAATCAAGATAATCATTTCCTTACAGAAGACAGGCTAGAATTATTTTTACATGACATCTCTCTCTCCCCCTCACTCATTGACTCTCAAAACTAGAAATGAATATCTTTCCGGTTGCTTCTGAACCTTCCTTTTCAGCATTTGGGGAGAATATTCTGGAAGAAAAAGAAACATGCTGAATATACGGGTTAGCCACTTGAACATACAGTTCCTAACCTAGAAGTCTCTTCAGCGGAACTAGAGGATCTTATCTCATTTAATTTCTTCCTCTTCCTTAGCAGCTTTGCTTGGGCTCCCAGTGGAGCGGAGAAGTTAAAATGGGTATAAGGAAAATCTATGCGGTATGTTTTATATAAATAATAGATAATCCTTTTTCCTTTTGATTAAGCAAGAAAAGATGTTTGGATTTTGCACAAGTATCGAGCAACATGTGCACATTTGTTGCTCTATAAACTATTCATCTGAAAAGGCCTCCAATGTAGCACCAGTAAATTTCTACAATGAGTATGCCCATATATTGAATTAGATTAGCCTGCCTCCCCCTCCCTCCCTCTCTTTCTCTTACAATGTCATTCATAAAGGCTTCCTCTTTGGGTTGCAATAAATTCTTAACCTATGAGGACTGTGTTTTCAAGGGCTGCCAACTATTCCTAGAAGAAGAAGAAAGGATTTTATACCTGGTAGCTGTGTTTTTCAAAGGAACAGGGTTTCCTTCAACTAAACAAGCAACAAAAAGAAACCCTTTCATCTCTGCCCAGTCTGCTGATATTATCTTACAGCTGTCATCATCTGCAGTAGTAGCCCAATAAACAGGAAGAAAGGTGGTTTCTTTGCAAATAAATGGCCATTTGGATAGTTAATGTTTCCAGTTTTCCAGTATCCTTTTCCTGAAATTGCAGCCAGGAACTATCTGTGCAAAACTACTTTGGGATTTTTTTTTAATTATGAAAAGCAGGTTTTAAAAGTGATAAATAAACTCATTAGCCATGGTTAACCTCACAGCCGCATTTTAATCATACTGGTTGAAATTGTACAATACGTTGAGGCACAAACTAGTTAAGTACTGATCAACCAAATACTTAGCATTTGTGGCAACTTATCTAGGATCTGTCAACAGCAGTTTTCTCCAATACAGAGCCATCCAGGCTTATCTATACTGTAGTCTCTACCATTCTCAATCAACATGGCCATTAGTGAGAATAATTTAACCTACAATTAGCTATACAGATGCCCTCTTTTCCTATTCATTAATAACCTGGTTCATTCACAGTGCTGCAATTAAAGCAAAATTTTATCCAAACCTCAACATCTAATCAGGCTTGCACCAATCTGGTTTCCTTCAAATACGGTGGGATTAAACTCAGAATTTCTAGCTGGTATGACAATCAAAAGCTTCATTATTCCAAAGAACAATCAACACTATGTCTGCCAGCTAGAATCAGGTTGTGTTTCAATTACATCAAGCAGCTATAGATAATACAGGAAATGCTCTTTACGAACTGTTTATTACCTCATGAGGGAACTTCTAATGTCAAATCCATGTCAGGCACTACTAGAATATCTAGAGATGTTTAAAGGACAAACATTATTATGTACATACACCATGGACAATCTTCATAAGTCACAGTACAGTGTCATCCTCTTTAATATCAATGACACTTCAATAAGTAGCAGAGTCTCTAGCTAAAATCATCTGGCCAAAGAAGCTGGCTGATTGGTATTTGAATGGGAAACTACCCAACAGGGAAACCCATACTAGAATGGAATGTTGAAAAAAAAATCTTATAAGACAATATCCAACCACTTCCATTATGTTGTCAAGAAAATTTGACTCAAACTTGAAGCAGGCTTTGCTTTTCTCCTGAGCATGGTTAAGTGGAGGATTAGTGCAATGTAGACCCCATTAAGTCAGGAATTATTGCAGAAGGAATGCCAACTTCTCTGGAGTACAACAAATTGGAGAAGATTGAGCTAGTGTTGGACACAGATTAGAGAATACAGGTTCTCTGGTGTAAATGGCAGTCTAATGATAAAGCTAAATTGATTATTTCTAGCAATCAAATAACTGAGGAATCAAAAGAAATTTCCTATGCAGCAAATTTTCTTGTCAATTTCAGTTTAGGGGAAAAATAAGGAAGGCACATAGAGGTATACATAACTATGTATGATATGGTAAAGGCATCTAGAAATAGGTTTTTCTTAGAGCCCAAGGTCATCCAGTTAATCTGAATGATGGAAAGATGGAAAGATTAGAATGTGTGAGACATCATAATTGGCCTTGATAGTAATCACAGATCTCCAGATAGTTAATCCTTAATTCACCCTTTAGTTAAACTTGGCAGAAGACTCTGTTTGGTTAGTTTTGAATTTTTGTTGCAGATAGCAAGGAAGTCTTGAAGACAACACTGCAGAGCAAAAAA